GTATGGACAAAAATAGCACAGTATAAAACACAAAGCCTAGAAAAAGGTCAAAACTGATGTTTACCAGGGTCTACTTCACATTGCCTCCTACAGTCTGGTTCATTTTTATTTATTTATATTAAATTTCTATCCCAAAGGAACCCAGGTGTTACAACAATCAAAACATATTAAAAACAATTCCAATAGTATATGATTCCAATATGTTTGTTTTAATAGATCTCTCTCTCTCTCTCTCTCTCTCTCTCTCTCACACACACACACACACACACACACAAACACACATTCTATTAATGTTTGTCCCTTTTTAAATAAATGCTCCCCCCCTATGGTTTTAGCTGTTTCTGTTTTAGCTGTAAGACGCCAGCCATGCTCCCTGGTCTCTGGGTGCAGTCTCTCCCCGCCACCCCACATGTAGGTCTGCCCCTGCTTTCTTTTCACTTTTTTTGAAAACCTCCTGCAAAAGGGCACTTTTTTCCTCTTGGAGAACAGCCTTTACTAAAGGTGTCATGGGCTTTGAAGACACTCAAACTCAGGACGCTAGGGAGAAACGTGCTAAGAGGAAGGCACACTTGGCAAATCCACACTGTGATCAGCTCCCACCCAGAAACCAATGTCCCCACTGTGGAAGGACGTGTGGATTCAGAATTGGCCTCTACAATCACTTACAGTGATTGTTAAAACCGTGTTTATGGAAGACAATGTTACTCGGCTACGAGTGATCGCCAAAGAAGAACTGGTGACCAGCTAGTGGCTATCACCTTCTTGCCCTGTTTGTGAAATTTCGAAGATCACTTTTGGAAAAAGAATAGCAAACAAGATGGAACTTAGTGTGACCCAGACTTGCAGATCTTCAGTCCTTGAACCAAGTTGCCTAGCTTGCCACATGAACTAATCTCACCTAGTTCACTGATAATGCAACAAAGAGGTTGCAAAACACATCTCAATTCTGGCTTGATGCTAAGCTTGCGTTTGAGAACTGCACCCTTCCAAACGATTTCTCTGCAACCTAGAAATGTGTCAATTAACAGATTTTTCAGAAACCCAATCCAAGATTCCTGAGCTGTGCGTTTATTTATTTTTTGAAACCTTGGATGTTCCATTTTGTGAAAAGGGGAATAAAATGGAACCAGGCCATTCATTATTATTTTTTAATTCTCCATTACCTAAATATTTGTAGATATGGTACAAATACCTCATTCAATTTAAATCACATTACCTTATCCAATTTAAATATAGATAGAATTGTTCAAAGTTAATGGTAATACTTATTGTTACAGTTGCCTTAGTAACAGAATTTCCTCATGCTGCTATCTCTGCCTTTAGATAATGTCAACTCCTTACGTCTGCATTTAGGTTAATATTCAAAATAGTTTATCATACCGTAAAGGCTGATGTGTGGCTCACTCACTCGTTTTCTAAAGAAGGATCCACAGAAGGGAGGGGGTATCTCTGGTGTTTAAGAGTACTTATAAACATTACTTCCAGCAGATTTATCAGCAAATATGACAGAAGACATGGATATCTAGCAGTAAGGCGTGGTAGCACCACTGTTATAAGAATCTGAACCATGGGGGACAACTAACAGTGACTCCCCTGAAAACCACAGTGATTGGGTAGGGATATGAGGAGTCAGATGATTTTGAACCCAAGTTGTTAAGTACTGTAGCCTATAAATTAATATGGGAACCTTGAACATGAGCCTTTAATGTCAATAGCCCAGTGTTGTAGAATACCCTGCTGCTAGAGATACAGCAGGCGCCTTCTGTGCCGAAAACTTTTCTATTCCGACAGGCTTATGCATCCCCCACGATAGTCTATGAGGTTTGTTTTTAATTTGTTTTTAATTTATTTTTTGCTTTTAACTTTTTTCTGATTTTATTATTTGGTTTCATGCTTTTATACTGTAAACCACTGCGATATATTTTTATGGTACAGTGGAATATACATATTTTTAAAAATAAAATGTTAAATAAACACTGAATAGATAAAAAGAATCTTGAATTAATGCAATATGTAATGATGGCCATCAACTTGGATGGCTTTAAAGGGGGATTAAGAAATTTCATGGTGGCTACGACTCATGATGGGTACAGCTATGTTGCATCTGAATACTAGTTGCTGAGGATCAGGAGCAGGAGAGAGGGTGATTGTGGGTGTTTCGAAGAGGCATCTAGTTGGTTACTGTGGGGACAGAATGCTAGACCAGATAGGCCTTTGGTCTGACCCAGCAGGGCTCGTCTTAGGTTCTTGCTCAAAATAACTATGGATTTTTGGGGGGCAGCAGTGGAATGAGCTTCCTGAAAGCTGTATTAAACTGATTAATGGGGCACCAGCTATTACCAAACTCTAAAACGTTTAGCAGTTCCATATAGCATTCTTTAGGATGCAATTTATGTGACGAATGCTGTTGAGAATATCATCATATTGTGCTTCATTGAATTTTGTTAATGACTTGGGCTTGTAATTATTTTGTAGTTTGCAATTTGCCTTTCTGAGCTCTCACTCAGTCACTTTATTAGGGTATGATTTATATGAGAAACTTCATTAAGAGTGTTAATCATGGTGTCTAGATTGGAAATTAAAACATGCTCATCAAGATTACAAATGGAGGAATTTCCATTTTCCTTCCACATAAAGGCACAAATTAACATGATACTTAATTCCATAGCTTAACTTCTAGTAAACAACAGACACATGCCCCTTTTGTCTACCGTTAGCTGAGCTGCAGAGGGAATAATTCTGCCCTGTTTAGAGGCCAAAACAAAGAAAAGTGGGAATTTTCCAACTTCCTTCTTATGCTGTTTGAAGGAGGGGGGGAGAGAGACAGTGGCTTAGATGCTTTTATGGGCATCTTTTTCTCTTTCTGCCTGTCTAGGGCAGCGAGAGAAGCAACCAGAGGGAGAAAGTGGATAGGGAGAAGTTTGAAGAAAGTGAAAAGAGAGAGGTTTTTCTCTTTCTGTCATAATACTGGAATTTGGGACATCCAATGATGTCCAATAAATGTTGGAACACTCAGGGAAAGCAAAGGAAAGTGATTCTTCACCAAGTTCAACTATGGAATTCATTTCTCCAAGAGATAGCAACAGTTTTAGAGGGATAATAGACAAAAACACAGCTTTCCATGGCTGTGCTCTACCTTCACTGTCAAAGGCAGCATGTCTCTAAACGCCACTTGCTGGGAATCACAACTGGGGAGAGGGTTGCTGCACTCAAGTCCTGCTCTCCTGCTTCCCATGGGGGCATGTGGTTGGTCACTGTAGGAACAGAGGGCTGGACTAGATGGGCCTTTGGCCTGATCCACCATGACTCTTATTCTGTTCTTATAGGGGACGGGTGCCCCTAAAGCACACACACTCTGAAAATTTCAAAACATGCACACAGGCCCCCAAAGGCTGGCATCCCTTGCTGCAGTTCTTCATTTTCTTTAAGTTTAAAAGCTGCAGAGAGGGGCTAACTGTTATGTACTCAGTGGTCTGTGTTTGCCTGAGCTTGAGTCTGGACTAAGGATTCTGAGCCCCTGTGTTCTGATTCGATACATGAACACCAATCACAGAACATTGCAGGATTTGGGCCTCTGCCATTGGCCCTTAAACTCTGAGTTATGATTTGCAGCTTGGAAGTTTAGGCAGCCAATCACGTTGGGAGTGGGAGCGGCCGAGGCCTTCAGAAATGTATATAAGCAGTTGCTTTGCCCCTGTTGTCCAGTTCTGTTAATTCAATAAAGGTTCTTGTTGTTATCACTGTGTCTTGCCTTGTGGCAACCCACCTACATTTCACTAACTGAGTTCAAGAAATGAGGCTGGGGTGGGGTAACACTTTCCCCCCAAGCCATTTTCCTGCTTTCAGTTTTTCTCCTTCCAAGGTGTGGATTGCTTTGCAGGAGCAAATATCTAGGGGGACATTATGGTGTCTGTATGGGCTTGTCCACACGCCCGCTTGTCCCGTGCCTAGGAAGCACTGATCCTAGCAGTTTTCCACTTCCTAGGCATGGATCCGTTCACAGGGATTTGCACCGTGTTTCTCACATCCAAAGCCATTCCTCTGCCTGCTGTACCACCAATGTTATAAGCTTTATCCTTGCTTTTGCATCCTGTAGGAAATATGTCAGGAGCTCACAGAACCTCTTTTGACATAAAGCTACAGTCATTTCCCCTGAACACAGCTCACTGGCTCCATCTCTCCATACTGTGATTAAAATCTTACAGTAGCATGAGGTGATAAATTAAGGTCTTAAATGTGTGTCATCCCTTCGTCAGGTACAACCAAGTGTGAAGGCTCCTTGCAGCATGTATATGCGTCAGAGGACTCTCTTCAGCCTTCAGAGATCAATAGGGGCGAGGGAGCAGACCCTCCCAGAACTCCTCTTCATATATTTTATTGCCCCTCACAGTGGCCTTGGTTGCCTGGTGTCCTAGTTCCCGGGTATGCCAGTTTCCTATGTTCAAGGAATACATTTTGTAACGGAGCATTGTGTCATGGGAGCCCCTTCTTGCAGCCTGAAGTGGTTCAGTCCAGGCACAGGCTGACAGTGGTTAGCGATAAATTCTGAACTACAGGAACTCATCATGACAGCTCCTATAGCTATGTCCCAATGAGGCAGCTGTTTTGATCTGTCATGTGTTATGTATGACCTATCATACACACACACTCTCACACACACACAAATAGGGGGTGAGGCATAAAATATGGGGTCCTGATACTTTGTGCTGTGGATGACAGCACAAAATGGCTGCTATGGGCACCAAATGAAGAAAAAAAAATATTTTTTTAAATAAAAAGTTGGCAGTACTCCATACCAGCAAATACTGTCACAAAAAAGTGCTGCACAACATAATATCTAATTTAGTAGGATCAGAGTTGTATTCACTGATTCTTCCCTCTGACTGCATAGATTTGGCTTGTAAAACACACTGAGTTATAACAAAAGATCTTCAGCCAACTAAAATGCAATCTCTAGCTTTTAACTAAATATGCAAAACAATCTTGTAAAGAAGACTTACCATTTAGCATGCTTGCATGAAAGGGGAACCCTGTCAAAGAGAAGGAAAGAAGTATTTAGCCTCTGCTTCCTCATTTCCTCTGATTTTCTCTATGCTAAACTGTCAAAGCCAAACCTCATTATCACCTTACTCACTTGTCAGAGCAAGGAGGCCAGTTGGTTACCCTGGCGCTCTGGCAGATGATGCCTTCTGCTCTGAAGAAAGGCTGTGAGCTGCCTTTACCTTCATTCCCCTTCCAATACACAGACTTACCACCCATAAATTCTATAAACCCACAAATGAATAAAAACCCATATGGGGACATTGGAAAAACTTCTTTTATCAAAGATGGAAGAAGGCCAGTGTGTTCAGTTTGAGCCTAGGTGAGTCTGCAACAACGATTTTCTTCTTTTATATGAAATGCCACTGGAGAGTAGCAATATTTGAGAGGAGAGAAATGAAAGCTCTAGCCTGTTCCTCTGATCATTTCAGTCTGTTCCAGCCACCAGCTGAACTGAATGCATATATGTCAATGCTGCTTGCTGAAATAAGAGATGGACCCAATTTGCTCCCCAAAAAGCCTCACAAATTTTTCTGCGGTGATTCTTTTTAAGTCAAATGTGCTCTGAATATTTTATTTGCTGGATATTTACTGTATTGTATTTGAGACCTGTATTTCACATTCAAAAATGTACTAGTATTGAACTGCATTTTATGGTGACCTGGAATGATACTTTGAGTTAGACAGTAGTTGATGGTTAATGTGCCTGATGGATTTGGTGCCTGACTGTAACTGATGGTTGACCTGCAATGGTATTTAGTATCCACAACATTTTCCTCAAAACAAAGCCCCATTGGATTCGATGGGATTTACTCCCAAGTAAGCATGCATAAAAATGCAGCCTTAGGGTGCCTCCAGACTGTATTTAGAGGGAGGGATTCACATGCACACTGGAATTTTAGATTTCTGTATCTAAAGTGGATTATAGTGCCTTAGTACAGCACATCTCCTTTGAAAAAGAAACTGGACATTTTCTGGTTTAGCGGGAGAGAGGGAAATGCATTGAGAAATGCAGATTGAAAGGAAGTACTTACAGGAATACATGTAAATACCCCACAAATAAAACAGGATGGATGCTCCTTGTCAAATAACAGCCCCAGAAACAAATTGGAATGAATGTTCCATAAAGACCAGATTTTGAACACCACCAGATGTTCTTTTTATTGTGCATCATGATGATTTGTGTCCATGGTGATATTGGGGTGGTTATGCTTGATCCTGCACTCAATACTGTTTGTGCCTGCAAAAGTTCTGGGGTGGACATACAGTGCATGTCCCATAACCTTCTGCTGAAATTCTGCCACTTATCATACCAATGTTCTGGACTGGGGGTGGACGGGAGGGAGGTTGTCTGCCTTTGTTGCATTGTAGCACAAGAGTGCGCCCTCCCAAGCAATAATGTGGTAACACTAGGGGAGCATCACAGAAAAACTAATACATCAGAATGATGTGTGGGGATTCCAGAACAAGGCACCACTTAATGCACTACTCTTGTGTCAATGACGTGTATCAGAATACACCTGCAAAAACAAAACAAAACAGGGACCCATATTCTAACCACCACATATACGGGTCAGGTGGAAGATCCTTTAGACTTGCTCTGATTTCAGTAGGCATCAAATATGAATTCTCATCATACACTAAATGTCTCAGATGGGGAGACAACCCTTAAATTTGTTGGTAAAAATTCACAGACAATGTGCAAATTTGAAATTGTGTATTTGAAGTTTGATTGGCAAACCTGGCAAGTTCAGAACATTTGCAAATATTTGTTCTGGCTTTAGCTGATATCAACACAAAGCCGTCATTGTGTGGGAAATGTCATTCTGTGCCAAGTTCACAGAGTGGCAAAGGCTACTTTAGAAATTTGCAATGACTTAAACAGAGAGCTGAATATAATTTTAATGCAATTAAATAAAAGCCATAAATTAGCACAGACAAAGAGCTTCTCTCTGATGCAGAAAGATTTAAATTAATCTTTCCTTATCCAGAATAACCTTTCATTTAAAATATTGATTTCTTTGATTTTTTTCCATAGCAAAAGAAAATAATGAACTCTTGATGGAATAACCTTAATTGCATCTTGAGCTCCTAAAGAGATAGTGTTGTTCTAAATGCTGGGATTTAAATGGTTGCTTAAGGTAATAAATGCATATAATGAATGAAAATTAACAATTTTATGTCCTGAAATTGATAGACTCAAATAATATACTAAAATTTATTGATTCTGTGGAACTTACTGTAATTCCATCTCTACAAACCCTGCTTCAACCTGCTTCACATATGGAAATTCTAATTAAATTGTTCAAGGATCACATATTTCTTCCAGACTGTCATTATTTTCAATCACATACGAGCAAATTCAGGTTACATAGTTACAGCTGATTGGGAGATTGTGTGCAACAAGTCCACTTCCCCAAAGGAATGTATATTTTGCAGTAAGGAAAGCAGTGGAGAAATGCCCTGGAAAGTGTGGGATAACATGCTTGATGCAACTCCATCTAACTACCCTATCAAATAAATCAGAAGGAATGCTCAACAACCAGGTTGCCTGGAAGCACCCATTGTAATAATTCTCTGTAGCTCAGGACGCCTGGTCACCTTAGACAGGAAAGGCAGGATCCACCTGGGAGAACCGTGGCTACCTAATATTTAAAATGAGAACCCAGGCCGACTGTGCCAGAGCCCAATCCTGAACTGCCCACACACAAATAAAAAAAGATCAGAAATAAAATCCCCCAAACCCAGACAATTGCTTTAACTTGTAAAAAGCGTGTTCTCCTTCATGGAGAGCACGTGTTGCGGTGGGGTCTGCTGAGCCACCCCTCTGTTACCAGGCAGGGTCTCTAAAGATGCCTGGGGCAGTGATTGGTTCACTGGGTTGCTGGGGTAAAAGTTATGTTGCAATTTTGGTGGGAGGGGTAAAATGTTTAAATACTCTGCACGCAGCCTGGAGCTTTCTCTTTGCTGCGTGCAACGGATCACCCGCCCACCCGCCCTTGAGTAAGGGGTTGTTGCATTGACCTTGCTATGCCTGTCATGGGGTCGTCTGCCGTTGGGGCAGGGGCCTGGTAGGAATTTTGTCCATCTGGCTGATTGGCTGGGCCATTTGGTTTTTGCCTACTGCATAGCAAATCGTCACAACTTGTAAGGTTGGCGGTTAGGCATTGGTTATAAATTGGTGGAGGAGGGGTTAGGATAGGCTGGGCCTGCCCCTCCATGGTTGCTGCGGAAAGGGAATTCTGTTAAAGGAATCCTGGGGCTTGCCATCTTTTCGTCCAATCCCTGGAATGGGACTAGGGCTGGCAAGCCTTCGGGGAGCATGCGGATGAGAATTGAGGGTCTGTGACTCAGCTCCATTTCTCCCCGACTTGCTTTCCCCCGCACTGTCTTTCGGTGGTGCCCCGAAGTCAGTTCTGCCCCCAGGCGGGGGGACAGATAGTCTTAACCAATGCCTAAACAACCACTCACGGTTTTGTATTTAAATATAGTTGTGGCCAAAATTATGCCAAAAACCTTAAACAAAAATTAAGTGTGCGTTGTGAGTTATTTGGGGGGTGGCTTGGGGACCTCGACACGCAAATCCCCCAGGATTTGTAGAACATGTAAAGTAGCTTTGTGTGAGAAAGGAGACTTTACCAATTGTCAGGGGGAAGGCATCATCTGCATGGACAGAGCTCTACTTCCCAAGGACAACAGCAGCAGCTTTGCTTTTCTGTAAAATTTTGAATGGCAGCTGCTGCATCCTCCCTAATCCCATGGTACCGAGGAGCAGCTATTTTTCACTGCCTTCATGGCAAACATTTAAGTATCTGAAAGCTATTATCATCACATTTCTTCAATCTTCTTTTCTGCATGCTAAACATATACTGTTGCCTGATTCATAAGTTGATATTAAAGCACAACAGGGAGCCATAAAGATGGGCCTCAGTGTTACTCAGTGATTCAGCAAATAGAATAGGATACTATAATACAGACACGTGCTTGCTGATTCCCTTTAAACCACCACCTTAGTCCTCCACTGGCACTAGCTGTTTCTCTTGCTTCTGCAAGACAATCAGTGTTGAAAGGGGAGGAAGGAAGTCCATTTCTCCCACTGCATGGGAGAGTTTGCAACTCTATCGGTCCTGCCTCTCTAGTGATTCCCCCTCCCCAAAAGTAAAATGTAGAACAGGGTTTCCCAAATTTGGGTCTCCAGCTGTTTTTGGACTACACCTCCCATAATCCCTAGCTAACAGAATTAGTGGTCAGGGATTATGGAAACTGTAGTCCAAAATCAGCTGGAGACCCAGGTTTGGGAAACCCTGGTGTAGAAGGTAGTATAGAGAGTGTTAGTTTAGCAATCGGCTGCACTGATTCTCCAGCACAACTTGGTGCTCTCCAGCTGTTTTGGTCTGCAATTCCCATCAGCTGCTGCCAGCATGGCCAATGGTTAGGTATGATGGGTTCTGTAAGAGGGCCACTGCCAGTGAAGGCTGGTCCATTAGGGCAAATGGGGCAGTGCCCCAACAACCTGTTTGGATTCCTCCAAGCCAACCTGCTTCCTTACTTATATCCAGTCCAGGGGGTGTCACTGGCTGACAGATTTCTCCTCCTCTTTGGTTTTAGTGTTACGGCATACACACCAACACATTAGTAGCACAAATACAGCTGTCACCTTGCCCAACCTGAAATCATTTATGGTTGCTGTGAACATGCTGCTTTGAGACCCTGCTCCCCATAAGGGTGGGTGTGGTTACTCAATATGCTTTTGAAAACCTGTCCCTTGATAAGGGTATTCACTCCTTTTTCTTCCTGCACATGCCACAGGTGAATTAAGGAATTGGTGATTGCAGGGCCGGATTTAGGTTCGATGAGGCCCTAAGCTACTGAAGGTCATGGGGCCCTTGATATGTCCAGCTGTCCTTTGTCAACAACAAATTGTTGCTGTTTTTTGTGTTGAATATATGCTATATGGTAATTTATGGCGTAATAGGTATCTAAAACCATT